TGTGTATAAGAAAGTTGGCCGTAAACACAGGGTCCTGATGTCATTCAGACCAGGGGGCTGGAAGCATTATTCATAAAGGGCCTAATAGGAGCTATTTTAGGCTTTCTGGGCTATATGCAACTACTGTTATAACTACTCAACTCTGTCTTTGTTATCAGAAAGCAGACATAGCTAATATGTAATGGATGGGCTTCAGTGGATTTGCCCCGCAGGCTGTAGTATGTAGCCCTCTGCCATACCATTGTCTGGGATACAAATTTAGAAACGATACTTAAAGAAAAACAGTTGTCTTTTTCTGAGCACTTACTAAGTGCCAGACTCTCATGATCTTCTTTAGTCTTCATGATAAACTCGATGGCATTGACCTAGTTCATCTATGGGGAACTGAGGCCAACAGAAGGAACTTATCTAAGAGTACACCACAAGCAAATGTTGGAGCCAGGGCTCAGACATGAGGTAATCCAACCCAAACCAGATCCTTTTTTGTTCTCATTTATTGTTACATTTACAGCCCCCACCTCATGCTGCCCACAGTGCCCGTCTGTGGATCCCATCTCAACCATCTGATTCTATTCTAAGCGACATTGGTGCGGCACCTTGGTGCATCTCGGCAAACTGCCCCTAAGTGTCTCCACGTTGTCCTCTCCAGATTAGGGTAAACTCTGTTCCATGTCCTGACTCTTTTTCCCACCTGGCTGTGACATTCTGTCTGAATTCTCTTTTTTCTCCCTCTCTCAGGGTAGCACTGGGACTTCCCTAACTGGGGTTTTAGTTCTCTCTCTTCCCTCTTCTGAGTTTCTTCTTTATTCTTTTTCATTTCTTGCCTGCTCCTGGCAGTTCAGTTGTTCGATTTCCTTCACCCTTGCCTTTTTGACTCAGACTTTGTTACAGCCTGTCAGAAAGTCCCTTCCGGGTTTCTACTACTGAAATCATGCTTTTCTATGATGCTAAAAAATACTTCTCTCCCAAAATCTCTGACAAAACAATCCTAAACTGTCCGTTGGATCTACATTCTAGTCACTGGTTATTACACAATCAAAGGTGATTTGGCCATTTCCTTCCAGGACCCAGTTAATTTCACTTCTTCAATCACTTCCTCCTTGTTGGCTGGAATTGAGTTTTTATCTTCTGGGAGAGGAAGTTCTCGGCGAGGACACAAGGATTTTTTGGGTGCGAGGGTCAAGTCCAGGACCCAGATTCTAGGAGTTTGATCTCCCTTTGTTACTGAGCAATGTGGAATGAGGAAGTCTGATTGTGTTCAGATGTTATAAAAATTCTGCCCAAACGTCAATGCAGCAGATAAATACTCCAGAATTCACCTCTGACTTGGAGCTCCTTTCTCTCCCTGACATCAGAAGGTTGGGAAATCTTCCAACAGTTAATAATGAATCTTAGAGGCTATCACCCAGGACCCGTTTTTCAAAATAGGTTTTCACAAGGAGTGATGTTTGGTGTGCTAACCTCAGAAATGAGCTACCAAAGTTCACTGATGCTGTGCATCAGCAGAAAGTTATGTGTTAGAATTAGTGGTGATTTAAAAAATATCCCTAGGCTTTTTGTTAACATGCATACTCATTTTCAAAGTTTCAGTAATACAGAAGTATTTCAAGTAAAAAGTTGAATGAAGCCCACTCCCACTTCCCCTGCCCCACTGTCTGTCTCACTGGATAAGCCATTTGAGCAGAAAATATCTCAGTCACTGGACTCAGCCACCCCTCATCCATCAACCACCATCAGCCCTTTGAACAGGCCTTCTTTGCATGTTTCCTGACACCTGCAATCGGGAGACTTCTTGTCCTCAGACATCCTTGTAGCTCAAGGCCTCGCCCTTCTTCCCATTTACATCATCTCCTTATGGGTTTGCTGCTGTAGAAACTCCATCCATCCACTCCCCACACATGAGACACAGAGATCTCTTCAGAAGACAAATGAGTGACCTCAAGCCCTTGCTCAAGTCCCATCACTGGCTCCTCATCCCCTTTGGGGGTGAGTCCAGGCTCCTGAGCCTGTCACCATGGAATCCTCTACTTCCTGCCCCTCCCCACTTGAGCCCTTCCAAAGCATTCACAGTTGCTTGGATGCAATATTCTTCTAACCTCTGTGTTTCTTGTGCAGTCTATTCTTTCTGCCTGGAACCTCCTTCTCTTTGTAGTTTGGCCAACACATAGTCCTTCAAGACTCAGCTCACACGGTACCTCCGCCATGACCAGCCCCTTCCCAAGCCGGGGGTGGGTACTCCTCCTCTATGGGCTGTGCCAGCCTCCCTCACTGTGCATTATGTGCTTGGGTGCCTTATGGTTAATGTACCTGTGGCAGGGCTGGGATTACGGTTTTAGCCTCTGTGCCTGGCACATGACAGCATCCTAAATGAGTGACGGCCAGGAGCAATCATGCTGTTTTCCTCTCAGCTTCCAGCTTGACCTAGCTTCCTCTGGCACAGAAGCCTTTCCTTAGAGAAGAATATGTTTGGATTAAAAATAGAGACTTACCAGAAACACAATGTCTACCTCAGAATGAACTCCTCGGCAAGCAGGCTGGGGGATAACGAAGGTAGCAGGTAGCCCTCAAAGACTCCCAGACTGGGGTGGTAGTTCAGGGTCTGGCTGGGGTGTTGTCCTCTTGGAGAAGTGCATCCCGTGCCATAAAGCACAGTGGACACCTTGCTGCCCTGCCTTCAGTCAGAGCCATGTCCTGCTGTTCTGGGAAATTTGGAGCCCTTTATGAAGTTTTCTGGGACAGGGAGGTGACAGAAGCTGCCACTAGTACCAGGAAGAGGTGGTGTTCTCTTGCCCCATGTTGCACCATAAATGCCTGGGAGGTAAATTTCTGAAGAGACGCTCCCATCTTTCACCAAAGGGAATTTTGAACTGCATCCCACAGGCTTTCCTAATCCCTCTAAGAATGTAGGAGCTCCAGAAAGATGAAGTCAGAGGTGATGGCATGTCAGGGTAAGTAGCTTTTGGAATAACTTCTATTATTCATTCATTCACTCATTTGTGCATCCATCATGCCAGGCACTGTGCTAGGTGCATGCATGTATGTGTGTGTGTATGCAGAGGAAGGGGGACAACTAGACAAGACATGGTGGCTGTCCTCAAGGTGTTCTTGCAAATGCCTGCAATCTAAGACAGAATATGGGAAATGCTAGCCAGGGAGAGTCGTCTGCCCTTTCCTGTACCCGCATGTGGAGACATGGCCTGGCCAGTGGAGGGAAAGAAACATGGTCTGGCTCTCTGTGAACTGAGACAGCTCTAGGCTGACCTGGAGCTGCTTTGGGAAATTGGGGCTTTGTTGGAGGGGGTTCTTACTGCAGACAGAGCTGAGGAATGTGTGTCTGGGTGAGTGTCTCTTCACTTTTGATGACGGGCTCTGAGAAAGGCTGGGGCTGGCTTTGCGTGTGTACTTTCCTTCACTAAACTACTGGGTTGCTCACCTCTGGAGCTCACCCCCACTCCCTCCTTGAGCGTGTGCTTTACTAAACTGCTCTTTGCCTGTACCTGCTCGACCTGCTTGATCAGAGTCAAGAACTCTCTCAGGTTGAGGTCTCACCTAGTGCGCAGGGAGGCCTCCCTGGATTGGATTTCCCAGCAACTCTTGGTGTCCTTCTTCAGGGGAAAGGCTCCCCCATTTCTCTGGGTTTGGGGTAGAATCCATGCCCTCAGCATGCCTCACTGCAATGTCATGGGTCAGTTTATGCGGGGTGCTTCCCCGAGGCCCCCCACAGCCCACACAGGGGCCCGCTGGCCCTCCCCAGCCCCGGCTCTCACCCCTCAGCTTTCTCACTTGTGCTCACACACCCCTTCTGCCCCTTGAACAGGTCAGCCTCACCCTTATGAGGGAAAGTTGGTCCATCCTTTTCTCATTAAGGTCTTTCCTGCCCCCTGACTCTTACGTCTCTCACCAGTTCCAGTCCCACTAAAGCATTTTCTGCCATACATTTCCCATTTCTTCTCACTCTCTGAAAAGGTCTCCTGTCTGCTCTTTGCCAACAGTCAGCTTCACGAGCCTCTGGAGCAGGCCCCTGTGCTCTCGCTCACAGTGTGTCACCAGGCCAGGGTGGGTGACACCCCATTGCTGCTGGGGTTGATTGCATGAGCCACCTCTTGCAAGTCGCTGCCTGCTCTCTCCTACTGAGTCCTGTCCTAGGTGCCACCACCCCTTCTCCAAAGAATGTGGGCCCCGGGCAGTCAGTCTGTCAGCTTAGTGTCTTTAGGTGGGCAGTTCTGTCCTGCGCCTGGCCCGGTTGGTCATGCTGCTCTGTCGGACTGGGCATTTCCCTGCATCTTCTCACTTCCACTTGGGAGTTCCTTCCAAAATTGCCCGTTCAGTTCAGAGAATGGCCTTGCCCAACAGGGTCCTGCTCCACAGGGGTTTAAGAGCAATGAAGCCTCCTGTTCAATTGCCAGCCCACTTAGCACTCACATTTTCCTTCAGACAGCTGATTCTCAGGAACCAGCCAGCCTGTGTCAGTGCCAGCCAGCTCCTTGGTGCCCTATTCCTTGAGGTTAATTTCCTAGGAGATACTATTTTAAAGAATCAGCAATACAGTAAGATGAAACTCAGGCTCACTCTGTCACAGGACAAGGACATTTTCTCTCACTTCTTTTAAGTCCTGGTCACCAGGAAAGCAATCCTACAAAGAGACAAACAAACCCCTCACATCAACACCCAGAACAGACTCTTTCAACTTGGTTTCCCCTGGGTGAGAAGCCACCTTGTGGGTAAGTAGGGAGCTGCTTTGAGTTGTGACTGTGTGGAAATATCTGGCTCTCCCAGCAGCTCCGCAAGCTCCAGGGGCTGACAAGTCATCCGCTCTCTGTCTCCGAGGACACTGTGCGTATGGTAAGCACTCAATGAATGGGTGGAATTATCCTGAGTGAAGGATCCCAGGAGGCACTGAGTGGGTGAGTTGGAAAGACCAGAGGGTGTCAGATGAAGCTCTGCCCTCCTGGTCTTGTTCCCTCAAGTCACTCATCTTCCTGGCCCAATGTCTTCATGCTTAAAATGAGGACAAGACCTATCTCTCTGGGTTGCTATAAAGATAAACAAGGTCCTATATGTGTGGAAGCATCTAACGCAGAGAAGGACTGTGATTGACACACAGGAAATATTAGTTTGCCTCCCTTCTTATCCTTTCTCTCTTCCTAATGGGAGTGGCCTCCTTTCCACTGTGGCCATAAAGCCTCTGATGGCAGTGACAACCCAACAGGGATGGCTGGTTGTGTGTGAGAGGGTGGCATTAACGCTGGGAAGTACAAACCGGTGGCATTCACTCACGAAGAGCTCATTTAGTCTGGGGCTGCAGTGGGGATGGGGAATCCCATCCCCAGTGTGGTCATTGCCTCTTTGTTTTAATTGCCTTCCTGAGGTCTTTGTCCAAATGGAGCTCCCTGTGGGCTCCCCACACAGGGACTGCAGGGACTGTCCAGCATCCTTAACAGTTTAGCATCATCCATTCCCAGAGGGTATAGTTTTCTTCCCTTCAGTATTTCCGGTGCTGCTGCTAGGAGTGGACAAATGAATTACACATGGGTACCCCTCTTCAGGGAACTCTCTGGAATACAAGGAATTAGCACCAGGGGCTGAGAAGAGCCCTCCTCAACCTGGGTGCCTCCTGGGAAGGCTCCATTTTGGCAGTCGTGCACACAGGCATCCTCCTCTCCGACCAGAGCCTTCCTGCTTTTTTATGAGGACCTTTACCCCATGCACAGCCTCCCTCACTATCTGCTGTTCTGCTTTGGTTTCCTTATCCAGCCAGTGTAGTTTCTATGCTTCATGCCTTCAACCATTCTCTTTGCCGGCCTTCTCAGAAGCCTATCCCTTTTTCTTCCCTACCCCTCACCAGACAAAACCCCACGCCTGGTTGTATTTTCAGTCTGCTTCCTCTGCATCTCCAGGGGGGCTGTTGGAGAAAAGCCTCACCTGGTTTTCACGGCTGACCACCCCCCCGGATGCATGGGCACCACCCACTGGGCTCCCACCCTGCCATCAGTCCTTAGAGCTTTCCTCACCCCCAGTCCTGGTCCCCCACTGTCCCTCATGCTCCTCCTTGGATGTTGACGTCATCATCTGAGAGCTCCCTCAGCGTTTCCCGCCACATTGCCAGCTTCAGCCCCCGCACCGTCCAGCCATTCTCTCGTTGCCAGAGTGAAGGAGGCTCCACATCATACCTGAGCTCTCACTCAGGCTCCGACTTCCTGATCCACTGTTGTATGAGTTTCTCTGGTCTTTGTCCCAGATTCCTGTGGGAAGCTTCTGAAACCCTTGGAATTTCTTCAGTGACAGATAATTGTCCGACTTGTGGCAGGGCCACATGGTGGGGGCTGGTCACCACAAGGACAAACTGCGTGATTTGAAGTTTGGGACTTTGGGTCACATGGTACCAGCCCCCTTCCCGGCCTCCTGGGAGGGGAGGGGGACTGTAGATTGAGTCCAATCATGTGGCCACTGGGGTAATAGATCAGACTTATGTACTGAAATCCAGCACGAGCTCTGGAGCCTGGAGGGGCTTCTTGGGTGGTGACCTGCCGAGGATGGGCCGGGAGGCGAGGCATCCACCCCACAGGGAGAGGCCTGGAGACTCTATGTGGTCTCTGAGACCTCCCCCTATATATCTGGACATTTGACTGGCCCTCCAATTTGTACCCTACATCATAAAATTATAATAATGATAGCGTTATATAATGCAGACCTGAGTCTGTGAATCTTTCTAATGAATGATCGGACCTAAGGGGTTCATGGTCTTGAACTTCTGAATTTACTGCCAGTCAGCCTAGGGACTCCTGCAGTGCGACTGACTCTGAAGTTGGGGCAGTCTTGCTGGGGACCATGCCCTTCAGTGTGTGGGGTCTGACCTAACTCTGGGTGGTTGTTGAGAGAGCTGAGTTGAAGTACCCTAGTCGGGGTTGAAACAGAATGTCCAGCTGCTCAAGGACCTTGCTGTTTCTCTTTCTCTATCATCTTGGACTTCTTACTCTCCATTGGCTCCTTCCACCAGACTCCCTCATGTTTTGCTGACCTAAAACAAAACAAACCTGCTTTGTTTTCATGAAAGAGTATCTTCACGACTTCTCTCCCCACCCTCAGCCTCAGAAGTTTTGCTTCCTCCCACTGCTTGGTAGAAACTTCTCTCTTCAAGGCCATCCTGTCCCCACAGCCAGCGGATCACTTTCAGACTTTTCTTGTTTTTGTTTTTTTTAACTTGACTTCTCGGCAGCACTTTACGCAACTGACATTTTCTTTTCTCTGCACACTACAACCAACCCCCTCTTGCCCCAGTTTCTGCAATACCTAACTGGTTTGCCTTTGGCCACCCTGTTCTCAGGCTCCTGTAGAGCCTTCTGTCCATCCCCTAACTACTCTAACTGGTGTCCACTTCCCATCTTCCTCTTTGCTTTCTAGCCCCTGAAGGCTCGCTATGCACCAGCTTCCTGGAGCGTCCCTGGAGCGCTCATTTGCTACTCCAACTCCACATCTAATCAGTCAATTGTCACCTTTGGCTCCTTCTACCTCCTCCATACCTTGTGCCTCTGCATTTCTGCCAGCTGCTTCCGTTGCCCCCTAGTCCAGATAGCAATCCCAGCTCAGCTCCCCGCCTCAGTAGTCTCCCTGCTCCAAGTCATGCAAACTTCCGCCTTGTTCTCTACCTGAGTGAGAGTCAAAGTGAT